AGCGAATTACGGCAACAACGCAGCTGCCACTATGCTCTGGACGTCGAGATTGGGGGAGTGAGAGGGTCCCTTCTACAACCCACGGGGCCGCTGAGTATTAATAAGGTAAGAACTCAATAACTTTTTATCGTGAACCGTGCCTTTGAGGAAATCGATCCGAGCTCCTATTTTACTGGGAATAACACAGGCAGATTAAACCCCACCTCAACAGTTTCAACGCGGAATTGACAACAGTTTACTCGTTCAGAGGAGAGAAAAGGAGGTAGTATTATAATTCTACCTACTACCAAAACTGACCAAAACTCCAGCAATAGCCGAATTTCTCCACGACTATCGACGCCTCGATGTTGCTGTCTCCCGACAGGCAGAAAGGCATGGATAAATCGTATTCGGCCATGCTGGCTCATTACGGAGGGTTCCTACATGGAACACCCTTTTACAATGGGCGGATTCCATCGTAGCTGTCGTCGGAATAGAAGAGCTATCCCCACACCTTCAGCGCCCCTAATAACTTCCGGTGAGAAACTTTTTTTTTGCTGTAAATCTTGAAGTTCGGGACGGACTTTGGGTAAAGAGCGAAGATATGAGCCACGCCGTGCAAGCGCGGCGGTCAGCTGATTATGTTTCAGATGAAAAATCAAGGCATTTCAGCGGAACGGCGAGCTCGGAGAACTTCAAGAGTGAGTCGACCGAGGCATCAAGGACGGTAACCACAGCTCTATCTCTCTCTGGAGGGCGAAGCCCTAATATCAACGAACATCTTCTTCTTGATCTGCCTTTGGACTCTGTTATACTGNTCTACGTCGTGCACCTCTTGGGTTCATTGTAACCAATTGCCTCGGATTGCTAAGAATTTACTCATCTGTTGGTCGATTCACAGATAAATGAGTCATAATCTACCGGTTTTTTAAAGAAGCAGAGACTAAGCACGCAACCAGCAGCAGATTCAAAACACCTGCCTTGTAAGTCCTAAAGGGGTTTGTGTGAAAAAGACGTTTAAGCGGAAATTCATTGCTCCCGTGGATCTAGAGCGCTCAGTTTTAGTAAGAGAAGAGTAAGGTAAGTAAGAGAAGAGTAAGAGAAGAGGAGAAAGGATGAGAATACTTATGACAGTTGGCATGACCAGACTCCACCAGACGCGGAGGCTCGCGCGAAGTGTTTGGGCAGAATTCATAACTAATGTTCCCGTGGACCTAGAGCGTTCAAATTTGGTAAGAGTGCACAAGCCAGGATGGGGACATTCACGGAAAGTAACATGACCGGATTCCGCCCAAGGGGCGGAGCTTGCGCGGAAAGTATTGATTTGTTCCCATAGGGCTCAGATCTGAAATACAGGAGTCAGGATGGGAACACTCATGGTAAGTGGCAGGGGAGAACTCTGCCCTCGGGGCGGTGTGTGCGCAAAATTAGCATAATTTCCGTGAATTTACGCATTCAAGTTGGAAAAAAGAGAAGAGTGAGCCAATTCACTTTAACACACATTAATTGAGCAGAACTTCACTCACGACGGACGAGACGCCTACGAACTGTCGGATGTGTGTCTGAGTTTTTAGTTGAAAACTTTTACCCTGTTCTACTGTCCCAAAGCGTCCAAATTTGGACGGTACGTAGGCGACAGGCCCATTTTTACACAAAAAGGAAGAGCGCTCGGCGATCCCACTTGTGCCATGAGAGGGTCATTTGAAAGATTCTCCGACAGAAAAATGCCAAATCGATGAATTCTTTTACGTTGATGAATAACAGGCCACGTAGCCTCGGTAACTGTCCGACGTTCTCTTTTGCCGTTTTCACCTAAAGCAGTTCCGGGAAGACCTACTCACCGGAGATGAGAGTTGGATCCTCTAGAACTAATAACCCCTCCAAGTCCACACCGTCATCGGTCCCGTTTACGCTACTCAGCTGCAAAAAAACGATTAGACCGATCAAGGAAAATTGCCAAAAGGAGCTTTTCATTCGCCACACCGCTAGGATCCATAAAGCTGAAGAGGATAGGCTTCGGGCGCTGATCAATCTCGTCTGAGGGATGCGCGTGCGTGCTCTTATCCTCCTAGACGGGTCTGATACCAATTATCCGACCCCGAAGGGATGGAATGCTTGGTTGCCATGGGTGGATATCGATCCGGGATTCGAACCTGTGATCATGCGTGTGTGGAGTGCGCCACTTGCCACTAAAATACCTCCTCCTTTGAAGATGAAGAGAC